CTAGACTTCATAGATAGGTGATTTTCCTAGATTTGTTAGCACTTGGTTTTGTTGATTATGAAATATACTCATAAGTAGAGTTATGAAGTTTTCTAGGCATTTAATTCTTTTTATTGCTGTCTATAATAGTAGTAAATGAATTAAATCATATGCTTTGAATATATCTTGGGTTACAATTCAATATTCCTTATTTTTGGTTACTGTATCTTCGAGTATATGAGTTAGATCCATGATAGGTTTTGCTGTTGATATATATAGAAGTGCAGCATGATTTTGTGGTGCTAGTATAAAGTATTTGTCTAATATTCTAATTAGTCTTGTATTCATAATTTTTGTAAATAATTTGCATGTATGTTCGATTAATATGATTGGTCTAGTTTGCATTAGAGACTCTTTAAAAATAGGCTTTTTTGATATAGAATAAACCAGACTATGTTTCCACTGTTTGGGTGTAATGTTATGGCTTAAACAGAAGTTGAAAATTAATAGCATGACTTGTATTGCATTTAATGGTAACCTCTTTATCATCTTATTTGATATTCCATAAGGCCCAGTTGCTTTATGCAATAGTGCCTTATTAATAGTTTGTATCAGTTCATATCCAGTAATTACGTTAGATAATAGTATATACTACTCGTTATCAATTGCATCTAATGGTTTATAGAACCGTTCCCATTCTGGCCATTGGACCTGTTCAGTTAGATTAAGTTTTGTTCAGTTTGAATAGTGTCTGCTAACTTCTTCTTTGATTTCAGTTACGTCAGTAATTATATCAGATGAAGTTGTTATATTATGAAGTATGACTATGTCAGTATGTCTTCTAAGTATCCTGTTAATCATCTTTTTCATATTAGTTTGGAAATTATTGCATCTTTTTGCTACTGCAATATGAATTTGCTCTCTAATTTCACTTAGATTTTCTGTATTTCTAGCTGTATGAATCATTTTTCTTGTATTTTTGAGTAGCTTTACTGTATTTTTAATTTGTCTGTATTTCAAATTTTCTGCTCTAATCTCAATTGATTCATCTTGTAACAATTCTAAGATTGACTATAAAGGTTTGTTAATTTTTTGGATTATCCATTTGATTAACTGTGGTGGCTTCATCATCATAACTAGTTTAATAACTTTGTTAACTTTAGTCAATGCACGATGCAGTGTAGTTGCCTTATGAGTATAAGCTTGATACTTGGATAGTTGCTGTTTAGTACTAAAAATAGTTCTGTTTGCTATTTCTTTGATAATTACATTGAATTAGTGCCAGATACGGTTAAGTGTTCATTCATCTTTGATCTGACAAGTAATTCACTAACTTATTTTGGTTTCTATCTTGTCTGAAAATTGTTGCCATATATCTTCTGTCATTTTGTAATATATGAATACTTTTTTAGTTTGTTTCTTCTGTTGAATTACTAGTACTGGATCAACCATCTGCTATTCTAATATTAAGTTTGTATGATCACTATTAGTAGCTAAAATAAATAGTTCTATTATTGAACTATTACATTTATTGACTATTTATGCTGATACTCATATATTATCAATTTGTAATGATAACTGATTTCTTCTCCATGTTGCTTCTGAAATTTTGTTGAGTTGCAAAGTGCTGATCAAATCGTTGACTTCTATAGTTTTGAGCAGAGGTGTTGTATTTTTACTATCTTTTTGATCTATATGACTATTGAAGTCTCTGAGAACTAAAATATTCATTGATCTAGCTTTGCTAAAGTTTATCTAGCTAGCTATTTTGTGCTATGTTTGTTTGAATAAATTGCTATTATTGCTTAGTAGATAAACTGCAATAAATCTAGTTCTGTTATTTTGTAGAAAGAAAAAATCTATATATATTGCAGTACCTAGTATTGTTTGTATGTCGTGTATATAATATTGTAGATGATATCTGATTGCTATTGCTGTACTGAGTGCTGATTCTCTTGTTTTTGCTTGTTGTTGTATATGATGTATATATCTTATATATTGGTTTGATTAAAGCTCTCTTAAGATTTTGAGATTCAGCAAGTTTTGTCTCTGTTATAATAACTATGTGATAGTTTTGTCTATCACAATATTCTAGCTATAAATTTCTTTTTAGTATCATGTTAATGCCCTGTACATTATGTACTGCTATTTTTAGATTAGTAAGTTGCTCATTAGCAATAGTATATGAGCTTAATATATTTGTAAATTGATTATTGACTTGTAGGTTAGTTATATTAGTGATATATTCATTTCTTTCGATATGTAAGTTTAGTATAGTTGGGTCTTGGTTATTCATATAATTGTTCATTGATGTTGTTTCTAACAAATAGATTCCAAAGTGGTATAGGTAAGTCAGGAAGTCTGTTGAGATATGTGAGTAGTATAGTAGTATTGAAGTATTCTAGTAAGAATACAATAGCTTGAGGTAGTTTTTTATGTGAGTCAACTGGGAATAATACTTGAGTTTCTTCATTTTAGTTGCTCATATAGGTATTAAAACCTTCTATGGATGTTAGAAGTTTGATTTTATTTTCTTCATCTGGAATCTGTATCCATGTCTCTAGTATTTTATAAAAATAGTAATACTGATGAAGTACTCTTACTGTTTCAGTTAATGCTTTAGGAGTAGTAATTAGTATATTAATACTAATATTTTCTACTTGTCTTGGATCTCATGGCAGATCAGATTTCTCTATTGGGTTAACTGTTATATAGACAAGTAGAAGTAGTATTGGAATATAGTATATATGTTTAATTTTAGTAAGAAATCTTTTTGTTGTAGTGGTATCTGTTATTGGAAATGTATATTTTTCCTATGTGTTTACTATATTTGGATCAGTTAGCAAGTATCTTTTGGCTGTGATATAGTCATTTGGTATTCTTTTAAATTGATAGTGTTCTCGTAGTAACTCTACATATTGCCTAAAATCACTAGCATCTTTGGGTTAGAATGAGAAATTATTCCTTAGCCTAGGCTTTAATTCTTGAGATATAAGAGGTAATTCAGGTTTAGGTAATAGCAAGTCAAAGTATGTTGCTAGTATGTATCTGCATTTATATCGTATATTTAGTTTCTTTTTGTAGTATCTAAGTCTTGCTAATCATAACTGATCAGTAATAGGAAATATTTCTCTGACTGATTCATCTAGCTTCGATAGATCTTCTAGCAGTTCCATGTGTGTATCAGAGAAATAAGTATCTGGTAGTATTGTAAAGGTAGAAATTTTCCTAAGTGATGATACAATTGATCTTGTCTGCCTAGTCTGTGATAGGTAGACTAAAAGGAATAATTTTACTGATATCATCAGGTATAAGATCAGATAAAGTTGGTAATAGTTGAAGCTAATTTGCAACAATATTTTGGATTATTGAACATACTTGTTCAAATGATATTTCATATAGTATTTGTGTGAAGTGAATATAGTAAAATAATATTTGTATTGCTTTATAAGGATTAATAAGCTGAATGTCCATATTTCGGATATGGTCAATCACTAGTTTTTGTTTGAGTATTTGAAATATTTGATGCCTATTATGTTTGTTGATAGGTAAAACATCATGTTGTTTTTTATATTTTTCTAGTACAGCTATTAATAGTCGATTGAACTCTGTTTGGTATTGTGGTTCAGTTGCCTTATTGCGAGTAAAAGTTCTAAAAAAGGCTGTATTTCGATGCTTAAATTTTAGTGTAATTGCTATAGGCATCACTATATTGGTTAGTTTAGTTGTCATCTTGTATTGCAAAAATATCTCTAGTGCCTCACATGATGTAAAAGTATCTATGATTTTTTGAAAGTGCTAGGTCTAGGTATTGAAGGTTTGTTCCAGCTTGTTTTGTAGAGCTATCATAATCTGGTTATGCTATATCTCTGTCATATTTCTAAAGTTTGGTATATCAACTATATTAGCTCTAAGTGCTGAGCTATATGTAAGTTTAGTTAGAGATAAGCTGTGAGAGAACAGAGAGATAGTATTATTAGATTGTAACTCTAATTCTATACTTTTGACTTTATTAGTAGTATGGTCTGTTGTAGCAACTTCTAGAAGATTTGTGCCTGTTGCTACATTATCATCCATTGCTATGTTGATCAAGTATAAGTTTTTTTCTCTACGGTCTGAGGTATTGTGTTGGGGTGTGGGAATATTTTGATCTGTTGTGATTGTAGCTTGTGATGATATTATTTTTTGTTTTGTTAGAGATGATGAGTAATCGCCACTTTTTGGAGTTGATAAGAGTGAATATTATAGAGTATTAGACTGACTTGTAGAGAGATTTGTATTGCTTCTCTTGACTCTCTTTGAAGTATGACTCTTCAGTTCTATATCTGTATCGCTTAGTTCCATATATGTATCCATTTCACTACTTATAAGTGTAATAGCATCAGTACTGTCTGTTGCCAATATAGTCAGCAACAAGTTTGTAGAAGTAGTTAGTGAAGTAGTCGTATATATTTTCCTCCTCTTAATCTTTGTGTTGTTCTATTCTGTAATAAATACCTGGTTATCTTTAGTTAATTAATTAATTATTTTATTATTGTGTTTTGTCAATAAAAACTGTTTCTCTATTATTTATTTTGTTTTGTCAGAGTGTAGGAAAGAGTTTTAAAGAATTTAATTCTTATTTAATTTTATATCTGATTATTTCAACTTTTTTTAAATTATTTTTGAAAAATACAAATTATTTGAATATCTTTTACAACAAAATATTAGTAATTTCTAAAGTTTAAATTTAAAACATACATACATATTTTTTTTATTTTTCTAAAATTTTTATTTTTTTTTATTTCATTTCTAAATTCTTAAATTATTTATATCATTTATTTTAATATTTACTTTTATTTATTTTATATTTTATATTTCTATATTTATTATTTTAAAACAAAATTTATTTATTAATAATTTTAAAATATTTACAACAACCCTAATTGCATTCAGCAAATTTCATCTTCCAACTCCCCTATTCTATCCCTTAATTTCTTCTTCTCCCCCTCTTAATAAACTTTATACCTATCAAATTTTTTCTATACATAATCTAATTGATTTTCCTTTTTCTCTACACTATTTTTATAATCTATTATTATCTCATAAACTATATCTACTCCTTTTACTTCTAAAAAATTTTTATACTTCTTAACTTTCTTTTCTAACTCTCTAATCTTTTTATCTCGCTTATTTTCTTCTTTATTTTTCTCTGTATTTTCTTCACCAAACCACTCATCCTATCTTTTCTTTAATTCCTTATTTTCTTGCTTCAATCTTCTAATCTCTCTACTCGCTAACTCCAAATCACTTTCTAATTCTATTTTTTCTTCATCGATATCTATTAGTATTTTTTCTATCTGCTCTTTCAAACTCTCTATAATATTTCTCTTCAACTTATTGGTCTTCTTGAGCAACTCCATATTCATAAGCTCCTTCTCCATCAAATCTCTCTTCAACTTTTTATTTTCACTATCTATTATATTACATCTTTCTTTATTATTTTCAACCTAAACCATATCGCTTCTTTATACCTTTCTGTCAAAATAAATGATATATCTTTTTCTTTTTCTTTCTCTTTTCTTTTCTTTTTCTAAATATTTCCTCTTCGTATCTCTACTTTTCTCTCTCTTTTAATTCATCCAACTCTTGTTTCAAAAACCTAATCTCTATATCTCTTCTTCTTACTTCATCTTTCTTTTCTTTTTCTTTTCTTTTTTTTTTGATTTTGAAGTTAAAATTTTATTTTTAATATATTTTTATTTTTATTTTTATTTTTCTTTATTTTATTATAATACCTCTTAATACTTCTATTTGGTGATCTTTCCTTTCTATGCTGATAACTATACTTTCTCTTAGTCATTTTCTTTAGTCAGTAAATTTAATTTTTGAATTAATTCAAAGTTAACGTACTTTGAAATTCCCTCTTAAATTAAACAAACCTTAATTTTAAACACATAAAAATCTTTAATTTTATTGGTTATTTGTCAACAAATTTGAATATTCTTAAGGAGTGTATATAAAAATTTTATTATGTATCTGCTTTAGTAAAGTAGTATGAATTTGAGACTATGAGGCTAATGGTCATGAGTTAATATCTGCTGATTGACAGTTAATCTACTGATGAGTTATAATAGCAGACTGAAACTAAGTAGAATTTCTTTTTATTCAAATTAATTAAATTATTTATTATTTTATTTTATTTTACTTTATTATTTTTACTTCAATACACTTTAAATATATATATTGTTTTAGAAATATTTTATTCTAATTTTATTTTTACTTTAATTTTTATTTTTCATTAAAATTATTTTTATTTTTATTTTATTATCATTAATTTTAATTTTGTGAAGCAAAATTTTTCAAGGAGGGAATAGTACTATAATATGAATTTTTAGTAGTTAAATTTTAATATTTAAATTTTATTAATTATATTTTATTAGTATAATATTTTTCTATTAATTTTAAACCATTTAGATATTTTTTGTATAACAACAAGCTGCAAGACACCTTGTATAACTCTGTGTAACTTTGTGTAACTCAGCATAACCTACTTGTACCAAATTCTTTAATTTAAACAAAACTGCTTTTTTAGAGTTTGTGTAATGTTAGATGCTGATCTGGAGAACCCTATTTCAAGGTTCCTATCTAGGGGTTCTCAACTTAAGGTGCCCAACCTAAGATGTCTAACTTGAGGTTCCCATCTGAGGTTCCTATCTGAGGTTCCTATTTTAGGTTTCTAACCTAAGGTTCCTAACCTAGATTCCTATAATTAGATCCCTATAATTAGATTCTCATAGTAGATTCCTATAGCAAGGTTTCTAAAATTAGGTTGCCAAACTAGGTTCCTATACCAAGGTTTCTAAGTTTAGATTTCTATTCTATAATGTTTAAAAAGCTATATAAACTCTGCTATTTCTATCAAAGCAAGATAAGTTCAAGTTCCCTTTCTTTTCTTTAATATAAGTTCAAGTTTTTTTATTTTTCCTTATACAAGTTCGAGTTCTCTTCCTTTTCTTTATTTTAAGTTCTTTTTTTCTTCTTTTAATATAAGTTCAAGTTCTTTTTCTTTTCTTTAATATAAGTTCAAGTTCTCTTTCTTTTCTTTTAATATAAGTTTCTTAACTTATATTCTTTTTTCTAAAATAATAGTTTCTTTTAGTTTCTAAAAATTATC